GTCACGTTGTAGTTATTATTGTGTTTTGATACTTTTGGAAATAGAGCACAAGGCGTGGCTTATAGTTGCGTGATAACGAGGCGAGGCCTGGGATGCGGGGATGTACGCAAGTTATATGACTTATGTATTAAGACAGACTACGCACAGTTAAATTTCTGTAATTTAACTAAAAGCAGCGAACGTATTGAAAAGCAATTTAAGACACTATGTTTTAATATGGTATTATTTACGTTTTGATTCATCAGTTGACGGAAGAGTTTCAAATTTAAATTGCTCCCGGAGTTAGAGTCAATTAGATGTAATTTTCTCACTACGTAGCTGATGCGTTCTGGTCTTGTTGTAATTTTCTCACTACGTAGCTGATGCGTTCTGATCTTGTTGTAAATTTCTTTTCTTCCCAGATAATGATGCCAAGAGTGTTAAATACTTGAGTAACTCTAATTACGTGATTATCACCCTGTCCGACACATTGCTACAAGTAAACAAAACATGCTACCAACAATCCCGGAAGTTAAACAAGACACCAACATAGCTTGAAAGTTTTACTGGAAATAATGCTATACTCTAAGAGATGCGTAGTGTCGAACTCTCGTATTCGCTGTGAAGTTCAAACTGAACAAATGGCTAAACATAATCTTGCACCCAGTACAGATTTGTCAGACACCTATTATAATAATAAAGCGGTCACAACTCTCACATAAACAGACTAACATTTTGTAAAACGTTTTCAATACTAAATTATATAGAGATTCTGGTATCACCTTTCATAGCCAAATTATACTATCATTGTGTATGTACAGTTTTGAAAATTATGCAGTGCATTCGAGAACAAAATTGAAACAACCACTTTTGAAATGAAACATTGAGCGCATTGAACTAACGTTTGGTCAAACGGTAATGTCAAATTTCAAATCATATCACAATCCAATGAATAAACTCCGGAAAAAAACTTGGGTCTGAACTTGGATCTGATCGATTCACTCGGACGACCCCAGACATAACAGTGTTATGTGCCTTTGTGCCTTTGCGCTAAACGTTTAACACGTAGATTTCAATTTTGTGAAAACGACTAAAATGTATTTTACACGCGTTGTACAAACCGCTTGGGTCCCATATCGAACAGGTTGCGGTGCGACGCGACGACAACCGCCGTTTTAACTGGCGAGGGAGATATTGTGAATATTTGTTTCCAAATTATCATGCCAATGTATTCACTCAATGTAGTATTAAAAAAAACAAAAAAACGTATATGTGTATGGTGAAATAATGAATGCCTAATTTGTATGTATAATGATTTGGCGCCATATTAGATTTCTCAGATGTAAGAATTCATCATTAAAAAAAATGTTTTTGATACACGGTCATTTTGAACAGGAAGTCGGTTCGAAGATTATTTTTTACGAATCTACTGTAATGTGATGATTGGAGCCAATAGTACCTTATATTATAGTAATATTATATCGGTATATATGGATAGAAATGACGTAACGCATTTTATTTTTAATATTATTTACAAAAAATAGTAATTTTGAGTTAATTGTTGACTCTGACGGCGTCATTAAAGAAGCAAGCTCATTCTGATATATAATTCGTTTCTTTATATTCTAAATATTGTTCTCCACCATACGGATAAGAGTTAACTCGTGTCTGATATCTAATTTCAAATATTGTGTTCGCGCGTAATTGATGTCATATATAGAAACGATACGTAGCACTCAAATTAAGGTGACAATTAATGTGGAGTAAGATTAACTGCTGATTCGAAACACCGCGTCTTGGCACACTGGCGCTAATGATGAACCATCCATACTAATACCAGCTTGCATTACGGAAGAGACAGTATCAATAGCAATAATTCCTTCACTGGATTCTCGTCATTTATTATATTAGCTCTTATGCACTATAGTAATGAATTTCCTTAAACTCATTATTCGATTAATTTCATTATTGTGACAATACGATCTTTCACGCTACCTGATCGAAGTGCTGAATAACGAGTCTACAGTGATACTGCCACATGAGGAGCTAAGGAACATTTTAACGTGAAAATAACGAATGAAGCAAAGCATAATGCTAACGGAGATGATCTATAATTTTGCCGCAATAATTATCCATTGATAAATTAACCCACAATTCTCTGTCTGAAATAAAAATATGTTTTTATTTCTCTATCCAAATATCTATGTATTTTGAAGACAACCCTCACAGAGAATGGAATACCAGAATACAATTGAAACCAGTTTTTAATAAACAATTGTGAAGTTATTAGCTAGATACAAAGTGGCACTTTTATAGTAACTTATCAAAAATATGTTGACTAATGATGTGTTCAGACAATTTTAATTGTTGGCTAGCAACATTACAAAATCAAACGAAATTTAATAATTGGCCTTATTTAAGTAGTTTACAGGTTACATACGGGTTATTACCTTTAATTACCAAATGATGGAGGTCAACTGTATTTATCTACATTTTTTTAATTCCACGATTTGATCGGCCCGGATATTCAGTTATACACACGTTTAAACTAAAATATATTCTGTTGTCTCACGCATAACAACTGTGTGTGGTCAATGCTTTTTTGTGATTTGAAATAGAACACTCCTGGTAAAGTGTTTATCTCACCTTGCAATTTTCCTTCTTATTAGCATGACGTATATCTGGCTAGACCTTGGCCTACGGAAAGAATACAAAGAAATCCAATCTTGATTTCACTTACGTTTTGATTTAAATCAGCTAGCGAACATGTGACAAAATAAAGAAGTTTGCATAACAGTTAAAAGAAAATAGGTACTGAGACGACACTGAATGAATTTGTTCTTAACTAATTACGACGTCGGAAGGTCACTTTTCTTTCATACCTATTTCTGTCATTCTAACCTTTGAATAAGCAAATAAATGTGTTTTTATAGTGTGTGTTTGTTTCGGAAGCTTGACCATTGCTATTCGCAGAAACCAGGTGCCTTCGTAAGTGGCATGACGTTGGACTATAAATTACTCTGCTGCGTATCCAGTTTCCTGGCGTCGTCAAGCTCGACGAACAGCTTAAAAATGTTCTGTGATGGGAAATAGTTGATACAGAAACGTATGTCGTATGAGATATTTAATATTTTCACAAAGTAAAGTATATTCGTAAAGTTTTAAATGTTTGTCGGGTTCGGTTTATGCACCTAGGTATATTCTTTCCGAGAGCATATGACGGGCACAGGGTTACTGTATGTCACAAGCTACTTGGCTCAATCTCACGCTTAATGGTAATGTAATGCTTGTAATATGACCTCAAATACATTGTACAGTGACTATATATTTGATATATAAGTCAATATGTGTTAAATAAACACTAATTATCTTTGACGACATAAGATGAATTAGCAGCGTATAACTGATACTCTTATGCTCAATTTTGTAGTTGTCATAAATACGAATTGGAAACAAATATTATCAGCATCAGTGTCTTTGAAAAGGTACACAAATCATTGTCGTCTTGGATACGGTGATAGAATATCTACAAACTGAAGTCGTCATCCAGAAAAGACATTGGATTTGATAACAGTGAGTTCAAATAAATGAGTATGCTTGAAAGGAACTTTCAAAATCAGTTACGAAAATAGTATGAATAATTTAGCTCCCTTATCAAGAATCTCGAAGTTCGAGAAAAGAAATCAGATTTTCCTGAATGTTACTACATTATACATCTTGCGCCGATCCACCGACATCCAACGTTTCTTTATACAATGATGAGTTTATTACACTGTGAAAATGACAAGTCGAGCATTCGGGACAATTACTGAATATTCGCCTCTTGATCTTCCTTTGTTATTCGATTTTAATTCAACCCCAAAATGTAGTATTTAAAGATGTTCACTGGTTGTGTTTAATGGCATGTGTTGTGGGTTGTACGGCAGTTAAGTAATAATTCCCCAATTAGTAAGTACTCACTTCGTCACCTAATTCCAACACTCCTGTGTAAAAACACCAATATATTCTAAATATGACTGATGAATAAATGACATGAACAACTACGTTCTAACAGCACTATTCTTCGTGACAGTTCTTTACGAGAGAGACTTGCTACGTGGGAAGACCTGATTATCAGAATTTACAATAGCACTGCGAATCAACTTCGATTTACATGGGCGATGTGAAGTTGCTAAATAGGAGCTTCCCACGGCGATCCACAATTAGTCCGCGACACTTCTGGGCAAAAATAACGAACATAGATCGTTGTGTGTCACTCGCATTATTAAATCGGATAACCGATATAGGAATTAGAGAAAGTGCCTGGGAAATAACTTCCTTCCTAAGCTCTTATTCATACTCGCATCAAAACAATTGTGTAGCGGTACCTTTACATATAAACAGGTTAACGAAATCGACAATGATACATGTTTTATCAAGAAAATCGAATGTGGTAAAGTTGATTACGAATGTGCTAGGCGATACAATATTTAGTAAACCGACGTGTTTTTCTTAAATGTGAGTTAGTCGGTGTTATACTCATTGAAGGCAGTGATATATGGAGTTTGTTTCGACAATGCATGTTTATAAAATTATATGTGATTGCGTACATTCTGAACAGAGAAAAAAATAATGGTAATAGACTAATTGAAAGAAATAGTTCAGTTTCCATGGTTATTCATTCGACTCTACTGTTGACGTAATACACACATTTCTACTAGGCAAACTATGTAGTTATTAAAAAATATGGTTAAAGTGATATTGGAATGGAAATTATACATTATTGTTTTCTGTAATGAAAAAACAACAACTGAATAGCAGTTCTGAAATCGTATTACTGTATGTCCAATCGACGCGATAAATATAAAACACCACGGTTGTCAGGCCGCCCATTCGAATTTCAGCATAAACAAACATTGTATCTCATGCGCGATGTAATGCCATATGAGAACCAAATTATGCATGACTAGCAGTGACGATTGTTATCCTGACAATGTAGCCAGGTGCAAAACAAAAACAAAAACGTGTTTATAAGCCTATTGTATCACACTGAATTTTCTTTTTATTATTTCGGAATAAAATTAAACAGTACAAATACGGCACAGAATAAATATTGCGTCGGATTTTTGTCATTTTCAGTTGGCCTGTTGCAGAAAGTTGTGACTAATTCCAGTTTCCGCACACAATATGTTTGCTATAATATGAATAACCTCTGACTAAACCCTTGTAGTATATCATTCACATTTCAACCTCCCAATTCACCATGGTTCGCATGTTATCCGACAGGGTTACTGAAATCCTTTAATCCAGCCTGCAATATATCAATCTGAAGTTCCCAGACATTTGATTTGTAAAACTTGATTTTTTGAGAAAGAACGTTATTACGGACAGTCAAGTTATTAAACATCAGATATTATATATATGTATTCATAACTCAGACATATTAGCTTTAATTGGGGCAAGCTAAGCCGCCAGCTTTTGTGTCAAGTAAAGAAAAAAAAGGCGTATGTTTGGACGATCATTAGCGAAGCTTTAGAATGATAGAATAATTGGTTGCTTTTACAGATTGCCGAGCCGACTTAATATGTGTTTCAATAAAAAACCCTTTTGAAATGCCACATTTAAAAAAAATTGGAAATCCGGACTTATGATGCTCGGGTCGGTTATAATATACAGAGAAACCATAAAAGCAAAATCAAACAGCTGCGGGCCACCTTTCTAAAGTGGCTATTAAAAATTACGAAGCTTTATATCCTCAGCGTTTACATCGGCGTTGTCGGTGTATGGAGACACTCCAAGCCTCTCCGCTACTAGCCGGGCTGCAGCGACTCGAAGAAACTTTTCCCACGCGGATGATGGGTTACCTGAGAGATCTGTAATAAAACACACATAAAAAAAAAAACATTTCCTGGTTAGAAATCGTTTTAATGTAAATTGTTTTTTAAACATATAGATTACTCGTTTACGCAACAATTTTTATAATGTCAAATTACTTATAATTATGTTAATTTCCAAGCCAGCAATATATATCAATATTATTATTCATAATACATCAAAGTTATTTTTTCTTCTTCGTTATATTATCTACAATTGTCGTCAAAACTAAATAAACGCATAAGTAACATATTTTAGTAAATGTGAGCCAGTTAAAATACACCAGTAATATCAATCGTGCTAGTATCAGCTTCACCTGAATACTGAATAATATTTACTCCGAATAAGTTAAACAATCCAGCGCACAGTCTTAATTACGAATACCACTTAAAGTTATTTGTTTTGCCAGGAATCAATAAAACGGGCGCTAATGACGCAGTTGGATTGTTAAAAATCTACGCTAATGTAAAAAACTGGCAAAATATTATATAATCCAAGTCATTTGAATAATAACCGAACGAAAATCCTAAGCACATGAATCCGCAGTAAATCTGTTAAAATGTTATGTGTGCGTACTGACGCCTCAATAGAGCGTTCCATTTCTATATGCAGTCGTAGTTCTTTGAATTCCATTTAGTAACAGTTTAATTCTATGTGATTGGTGAATATTTGTATTTCCTAGTCATCAATGTATTAACGGTTACAAATAAATTGGTGTAACGTGTTAACACTTGTTCAATTAAATGTTTCAATTCCACAACGATGGGAGATAAATCTGTGCACATAGATTATTTATAAATATTTAATGGGATTTCTAGAACGATTATGTGACATATTTGTTGTCAATATATCAAATATTGACAACAAATGTACTAAAAATACATTTTCAATGGAATTCCACTTGATTCGTTATTTCATTTCGTTTGCTACTGCTTTTGAAATGTATAACATATTCCGACGCGTGTAGATTCACAAAAACGCAATTCGGGAGAAATGTTGAGTCAAGTGATCTGCAAGATTGTGCCAGAGGCACTACATAACATAACACTAATTGTCAAGCCAATCAAAATGTTTGTTTGTTGACAGTTTCTTCTAATAAATCAACTCATAAATGCTTCGACTCAGCTACATAAATGTACACATATTTATAACATCAAATATATTACGTAATATATATATATATATATATATATATATATATATATATATATATATATCCGACACCTTCGAATTTGTTGTAATTTATTACTGTCATTAGAGAATACAATATTTGGTAAATAACTAAACAATGAGCGTCATTACCCAATGACAGCAGATATTATATAATATGCAAAGTATTAAATGATTGTATTGCATGATAGTGTCGTATTATATGTGTTATTTGTATATTCCTGTCTCCCCTGAGCCAAAATAACATCGCACTTATTTTAAAAAAGGAGGGGAGGGGTGTATTTTTTCACACATGTGTAGTCGAACTGTTTTACATGATCTAACACAAAGAACCAAAGTCGTCGCGCAGCTCTCCTCCGAACAGTGTATTATAATTCCTTATTGTCTACAGGTCTTGGTCAAAGTTTTTAAAACAAATATACAAACAAACAAACATGTGTTCTATTTTGTGGAAGGTGACAAAATCAGTTTTGTCTTTTGGTGTTAATGTCTCCGCATACTTTGTTTGTTATTTTGGCATATTATGATATATTTATTTTGGTTTCGCTTGTCTTCTTCCCAAGTACACACCACTACAATTGAGCAAGTAAAATGTCGTAAGAAATTTTCCGTTAAATTATTTCTTTCAACAATAACGACGTCTGCAAGACATATGTCTGTCTACTAATTTTTGTTCCAATTTATGTACATTTTTAGATTATATTAACAAATGCGAACGGCATTGATCTTTGACATTTAATAGATCGAGACTTCTGTTACAGCGGAAATTATTGTCATGTGAACGTGCTGTATATTGATTTGTTGCAATATTAGATGCATGAACTTAAGATAAGCGTTTTTAAAATACAGATTTGGAGAGCTTTATTACTACGGATGGCTCGTGAATAATTACACGATATACGAACATACTATTCAACTGAATAACTGAATCTAATTTGCATATCCCGACATTATTTTTTTATTTAGACAACCACCTGATAACCACGTGATAACCACGTATACGCAAAACAATGTTACGGTTGCAGTACATTGTTTCAATAGTCTTTAGTAGTGCTTCAAAGTACCCAATTTACAAGATCCACGTATAATACAAGAATTGGAACACTCATTAAATGTTTTTTTTTTTTATCCGCGTTTGTCTGAAAGTAGTATAATTCACTTAGCTTTTTGTAAAGATGACGTCACTTCAACCAACTGTTACAGGTGCGACTAATAGTGTGGGATTTGGATGACGCTCCTGAACAGCCAAATATGTTCTTGGTAATGCATGATGGAAGCATTCCATTCTGCCAAACAATTAAGCACATTTTTTTTCTTATTTGCGATGGTTTGGATTTAGTACTCATCGTGTTGTTTGACGTCAGCAAGGGTCGAACAAAGTTACACTTGCGCGTACATTGTCCGAATTTCACGGGACTTACGCTCTGGTTACGTAATACATTTTTTAGTTATTAGAAGAAGGGTTAAGTACATAACAACGTTTATTTTAGTTTTTAATTGAAGTTGAATTGGACAGTTTATATTTAATTTCATTACGGAAAATGAAATAATTTTGGAAAAGGGGTGCAAATATCTGTCTCAACTTAATGTTCGGTACGAGTGTAATCTTCAAGGAACAAGACTTTGATGTTCGGTACGAGTGTAATCTTCAAGGAACAAGACTTTGAACTTTGTCATTTACGTTTAAGCCAAACATATTGCCCTTTAATATATTTCGCATGTATATCACCGTCCATTGAATCAGGGTCATATCGCTTCGAAACGACTATGCGACGTCGTGCTCTCATTTTACTGTGTCTGAACTTTGCGATAAATATGACATTTTGCGATAAAATTGAAATTATAGTATACATATATACAAATGAACAAATACGTGCCTTATCGTACATACGCGTACAGATAACGACCATGTCTCTGATGGCACAATGTAATATGGAGAAACCTGCAACATGTTTTTTTTTTTTTACAAGCGACAAGTTCAGAAAACATGCAAGAATACATAGGCGCACTGAAACACGATTGTCTTCTAATCGATTAGCGTTAATCAGTCATCCGACGGTTGAGGCCGTACCGAAATTTTATTCGCGACTGTCTGTTTATTTTGCCGCGATTCACTGAGTGGGTATGTGAAAAACAGCTGAAAAACTTGTACATCGCGGGAAACAATACAGTCTACGGGGTACACGTTCTAATGATAAGCGCTCGTATAATCAGGATTGAGGTATACTGAATTAAGGGTCTAGCATTTACCTACACTCTATAATGAAACGGTTAGATGTTTGTAGTGTATAATTAATTGCACCACTTATAATCGCATAGCGACTACATCATTCGAGAAAATTGACGGTGAAACCAATCGTATCAAGCGCGTATGTACATTGTCCTTGCATTACTTTAGTTGAAAAGCGCTACGCGGTTTACGAGAATACTGCTATTCTAATCGATGGAATGCATTAGCGAAAACAAATCTATTTAATACCCAGAATATGATATGTCATTTATTGATACGAAAGATTGGAAATAGGCGCCGTCTAGCCAATCTAGTGCGCATTGCATGCCCGGTTTGACGGGGCCGTTGGTTTTCAAAATGCATTATTCACTGTTGAATAATGCTCATTCCCTATTCCCATACGCAGCGTAAATGCAATTTAACGGCGAGCTAAGCTATTTATGTGCCCTTAATATCGAGGATACATTGGTTTTATTTGCAACATATACAGCATAACAAAAATCGAGATATGCGATGCTTACGGACTTGAAATACCCAGCATCAACATATATCATATAACGATGCCGACGATGCCTAAAGGTCAATCACCCAGTACAGAACATACGAAAAAGATTGTTTTGTAAATATATCGGAAAACCAGTTACTAAAACCATACTTGTTGTACAACAAAAGTCCAAAGCATTGTATTTCGACCAGTGAAATGTATGTACGTTCATTTTCATAGAATACAATATGTGTGAATTTCCATTGACAATAATTGGAAGATATTCGCAATTAGTGAAATAGTCAATGGTACAAAATCCTACTTGGCTTAATTGCACTAACAGGGAGATTGCATATAGCATGCGTTTGTTTCATACTGTGCGCTGAACAAATGTCTTAGGTAATTAATTCACACTTTGTAAGGGATATTGTGACACGAATTGATCTAGTTTACGTCATGGTTAGCGTATGCTTTCTTCGAAGTAGGTCACTTGTACTTCAATTAAATCGTGCTATACGGCACTGAGCCGTGTAACTAACTACCTTAGTATATTAGTGTATTATGTTGAAGATATAATTTGGTTTTAAAAAAAAAAAGTTATTAAGAAAATAAAGATGGACTTTTCCAACCACAGATTGTATGTGTAATTTTTCAAATGCTTTTGCGATTCCATTTAATAACATATGCTAATCTCAGATTCTTAAAAAATACCTATCCCGTCACGTAATCACATAATAAGTGAGATCTCGTGAGACCGCGTAATATACGGAGATCATTATTGCATTATTAGTGTTCAAACCACCGGGACTTTAATAAAATGCAAATATTGATAGACATGATAGTTTTTATTTCTTTGTAGAAATTTAGAATAAGACAGCGGATATTAGCTACTAATTTAGATGCAGTAAGCGTAGTTAATGACAGGACCCCACAATGTGTACGTGAATTGTGTGACTTCAATCTACTTAAATCAATATAGTTGCGAATGGTTTAATCACGTCTTAAATCCAGTAGGGACGGACATACATAGATTGCGTGGGGTATTGATATCATCTAGAGACACGCTTTCCCATTCCGCTAATTGGTATTACCCATTTGTTTGTTTTCGAATAGAATAGAATAGAATAGAATAGAATAGAATAGAATAGAATAGAATAGAATAGAATAGAATAGAATAGAATAGAATAGAATAGAATAGAATAGAATAGAATAGAATAGAATAGAAAAGAAAAGAAAATAAAAGAAAAGAAAAGAATAGAATAGAATAGAATAGAATAATGTTACAATAGTCATGTTTTTTATTTTACGTGGCGTTGATTATTGTGCTAAAAATTAAATTTGCAAATAGCTAATTATAGAACGTGACATCACATTATCAAATCGATAAAATCTACTGCGTGAAGAATTACCTGTTTTGTCCGCTGATGAACGTTTATAACCCGACCGACTGCCGCACACTTCTGACCAGAAGTCTACACATGGAAGTCCTCCTTGCACCACGGCAGCCGCAGAAAGCACAATGGTTACTAGTAATATCAACTTTCCGTCCATTTTATCTGCAAAATCAATACACCAATCGAATCATTCGGCAATAACATTATGAGGGCTTATCGGTCGATTCACACTAATACTCATTACAGTACTGTTTTATGTTACTAAACACTCGATAAAACATACTTAGTAATGTACAGAAATTCCCCACTGTAATACTTGAAATATAAGTTTATGAAATACAAGCATGTATCTGATTTAATCTTGCAACTAGCTTCAACAACAAATAACAAAATACGTTCATAAATTGTATGCTCGTCGGGAAGTGTAGCGAATATGATGGTTTCGCATCGTTGTGCAAAATCATGATGTTTTATTTTAGTTTAATTGTTTCCCCCTGAAACTAGATTGTGCGCTTTCATAATCGAAGATTGTTGAACTTGGTATTAGTTTAAAAAGCTTCCAACAGAACATTTGATTTACAGCGATGTCTAGGAATCAAGCAAGAGAGGATGTGCTAGTAGCAATTGTTCGTCCTTTCTTGAAATCTACAAGAGTTCAATAAAACAACTTACCTTTTTTGTCGAATAGTCTATCTAAGATGGACTCACAATTGCTCTATACTGTCAATTTCGTTACACCGATCGACGCTGATAGTTTTCAACAAAACCCCCTGGCTAGCTGCGCCGCTCTTATATGTGCACTTTAAGAAAGAGCAAATAAAACATGTGATTAAATGATGCGGAGTATAAGCGTCGATATTTTATGGTTATATTAATGTGGGGAAAATGAGATGACGTTTATTGGCTGATTTGCCAAGGCAACCGGACACAGAACTATGGGTAAATGCCTATGAGTAGCAAAGCGGGGCAATCCTTATACGGAAATATGTTATTAGTTGCGTTTACCTCCTTCCTGATGAGCTAAGCAAACATAGCTTGGTAAACCGAACGTCATATTCTGCGTCACTCAACCGAGTTTAATAGTAGTATGAATTGGCGGCGGTTTAAGGAAGCACACACAAAAATCGCCATTTAACAAATGAAGACAACTGAACAAATGGTATGACTCCTTCATGGAAACAGTACATAATTTGACAATGCAAACTGCTACATTTGATATATAACTAACACTGGATCAGCCGATGAATATTCATGCGATGCGCGTCTTTGTCATCATGTATGCGGCGGGGTTAGGAGGTGGGGTCCTCCGCTAACAGGGTAGAACTATAATATATTCGTCGTTGCAATGTGCGTGCAAGGGAGAGCGGATGCGAAATAAAAAGATTGAAAAGCAAAAAACATGATTGTTTGAAGTAAAAAAATAAGCAAACATTTTATACAGAAGTGATTTGAATTATTTATATTTTTATGTCTTGTGATCACAGTCTTCAACTTTCAGGAGCATTGCCCAAAGCTATCGACTTACACTGAAACTTTTACACCCAGTATTGACATAGTCATCGCGTGGTTTTTAGTTTATTATTTATTTATGGCGTTTCCGTTACTCGTGTTTGATTTTAATCGTCCGTGATTTAATAACATAATCGTGACTCACATGTTAATTGTGCAATGGTGTTTATTTTAAATCAGCGTACTTGGAATAGGTTGGTTTAGCTATAGAGATACCACTTTCTTGGTGAAGACTAATCGGACTGCGTTCAATAATGACAATTCAGTTCTCGAACTTATTAAATATGTTGCTAATTTCGAACAAAATCACGCGATTGTACGGGTAACGCTTTTTGAAATCTAGTAGTAAGAAGTAACTGTAAAGAATGTTGTCAACAAGCTGAAAAAAAGTAAGTCGGTCATGCCGATCAGAATCCCAGTACTCAACGTGTACTAGAGTGCAATGTGTATGTTGATAATGGACTGTGAATTGCATGGTTGCTCAGATCAAATATACACCGACTTATTTGCCTAATATGATTAAACGTATTTGGTAGTACATGTATTCAATCGATGGTGTCATGGCAACACGGTGTACATTTGCGCAGCTTCATTAGCGGGCTGCTGCGCATATATCCAATTGATTCACAGGGTAGTCACATTTTCGTCAATCATAACATGCAGAACATGTATTAATTTGAATAATAAATCAAGAATCCCATGCCTGTGATAGGTGAACCGCTAGATGACGTACGGCATATCACGAATACTACTTAAATATAAATGTTGTTTTGTTGTAGATTTCAATGTTGGAAATAACACATATGGGCCCTGGAACTAGCATTTTAACTTTTGATCAGCAGCGTAAATTCAAGTATAGCGTAATCGTAACTATTCTTGTTTTCAAATATTGTTTTCTTTTTGCACCACATATTGATATAGATGATGTCATCATAATCAACCTAATCTGCTTACCAACAACGTACATACTGGTAAATTAAACAGGCACGACGAATTTGTTCGCAACGGCCATGGTGATCGCTCGATTGAGCCAAAGCAGACGACTGCCGATCAACTAGATTCAATACTTTTTTAAAAATTATTTTTTCATTTAATCTATATTCTGAAATGTAGATGATGGTATTGACCAATCAAAATGTAATGGGTCAATGGCACCGACACACGGGCATAATAATTAAAAGGGGTATATATTCAAAATCACATTTAGTACACATTTTTCGACATTACTGTATGTAAACGTGTATAAATACATAATTATAATATATTGTTTGATTGTGTAATATCTGTAATATTATGCGAGAAAGAAAGCAAATGTGAAAGTTTTCTATTTTTTGGTAAATTGTAGTATCCAGTGAATAAAACAACTATGAACTGTTATGCAATATACATGTGCATGTCATTAACTTGTGGATGACGTAGCGCACTGCTATGTAAAGGAGTGTGCTTTTGGTGCACTAATCATTTAAAACGATTCTCTGTATTATGCTTGTTATGAAATCAATGCCACCTGGACACACACTAAGACGGAAGACCTATTCCCCACTTACTAGCATAGCTTAAATCGTCGTCGATCTTTAGAATTAAAACGCGTCAATAATTATTGTATCTTATTTATTTAATAGTATTTCGAGTCGGACGGAAACAGGTGAAACACATATCGTCCTACATGACAAGTACGGGACTAAACTTCACTAAAGTCTATCATTTATGTTCACTCTAGTTCCACGAAATCCTTGCTGATATCAAATGAATGTAACAACACATGTCTTTTAGAACTACCCAGAATGCTATGTTCACTAAATACATCTCTTCTCAAAAACACACAAATCAATGAACTTTTACACATGGTGATATTAACAACGTCGATTAAGATTCAGAACGCTTAATTAAGTATACCTTGAGATACATTTATTTTCTTAACGTTAATACAGAAGCGGCCATGTACGTGCCTTTTCACAAAAGCGATGTGTATAATAATACAAGCGTAAAATATCAGACTTAGAATTCATATAAATGAAAATTGTAGTCTTCCTGTCAATTCTAGCGGCTACTACGTATACATTTACAAATGAGTATGTAAACAGTCCGTGTTGATAAAATCGAATACACATCACAACGATTTATCTATTGGTATAAGAACGCATGTATGCATGTAATATATTCACACAATAGTAAGAACATGCACGGAAAATAACTGACACGATTTGTTGGCACCTCGGAAGTATAACGCCACAAAGTGAAGCGCGTTCATGAGATCGCGAGAAACGACGTCGACGCTGTCACATTTTAGTAAGGCTGCATGTGATACTGAGACGCTGCTCGTGTTAGGTGATCTAATATCATATCCTATAACGTTTATTAATTATATTTGCAGTACAAAATATGTTTAAGGTGAAATCTTTCTATTAATTTTAAGAGGTTGCATGTTGAATCAATATAAATAAAAAAATAAATAAATAAATAAATAAATAAATAAATAAATGAATAAATGAATGAATGAATGAATGAATGAATGAATGAATGAATGAATGAATGAATGAATGAATGAATAAATAAATAAATAAATAAATAAATAAATACATACATACATACATTTCTGATTTTTATTACTCGAGTATTAAAAATATTTACAGTTCTATATACATGTTAAAAACTCGCATAGCGATGGGAAAGGAACGAGTGAAATTATATCGAATGAAACTATAATTAGAATAATATCGATTGAAACAAAAATGACTTATATAAGCGAGTAAGTGCGAATGTTTAAGTAATATAACGAGAATCAAA